GGTTGAGCTATAGGTGCCGAGCCATGAGTAACATCTTATTTTCTCCTCAGAATAACTCTCAGGGCTTAGGTAAGATTGCTAGATGCAAAATTTTAAGCCCATGCTGTCATCACTTTAGAACCTAGATAATTAATGATTTTGAGGAATACAAAATTTTGATTGTTTCCACCGCTAATATGACATCACAAAAAGGCAATAGTTGTGCAGAATTGACCAAGTTTTATGCCTGTGAATTTTCTAAATAAAGTAGATCTCATCTGATTCAAGGTGAAGCGAAAGCACATCCTACCGCTTGTTTCAAATTGTACAATGCTATGTATTATTTTTCTAACCATTACCTGCTACTATCATGGAATCCTCCCTCAGGATAGAACAAAATTAAGAATAATTAATTGTAGTATCTTGGATCCTAATTAAACTAAAGTACTTTAGTACCTAGTTAAAATGCTAGCTGTTTAGTGATAGCTAGTTATCTCATTTCTCATTTCATAATTGTCACTTTAGATGGAACTGAGCTTAAATTCTTTTCTGCTTTTGTGTTCAGCTTGCTTACTTCTATTAAAACTGTTACTTACTGCTTTTGAAAAATCCAAGCATCCTACTCCACGCTCAAAAGTTCCAAGTCCAATAATTTGCAATGTGGATAGACTGACTGAATCCCACACCCTGACATGGGGTTGTAGAGGCTGCAAAAACACAAGACAGAAGGACTAATTGGTATTCAATGCATTCAAATAAATAACACTACCATATTGGAACTATCTGCCATGTTCAAAAAGTAATAGGAATGGATAAATATCTAACAAAAACTCTACTAGATTTAGACATGTCCCCTCATACTATAAAAATAAGGAAACAACAACAATAATAATAGCAGCGAATAATCTGAATATTTAATATGTGCCATATACTATTCTTTAAGTATGACATGAGTTAATTCATTTAATCTTTATAATCCTGTGAGTTACAAGTATTATTATAATTGTCATTTAACAGATGAGGAAACTGTGATGCAGAGATTTAAATAACTTGCCCAAAGTTATATAGTTACTAAAAGTTATACAGTTACTAGAGTCAGGATTTTAATCCAAGCAAATTTGCTCTGGAGAATTTGCTTTTGGCATTAGTTTCATTGCTAAGGTAATGACACTTCAAAAAAAATTAATGTTTAATAAGCTGTTAAGCAAACAGCCCTTAAGTAGAATTTAGAACTGAGTGGGGTCTTTGAAGTCATCCAGTAGAAACTCTTTACTCCTTCTCTTTAAAGAAACGGAAGCCAAAGAATGTCATGAGTAGGTGAACACATAGCTAATAGCTAATCAGTCATTATTAATATTCAGTTGATCCTCATAAATAAGAAATCTGCATGTGAACCAGTTGAATAATATTAACTAGTAACTGAAACTATTTAAATGGTATCTGGTCATATATAAATCATGTGGTTAACTGGGCACAGTAGTATGCACCTCGAGTAGTCCCAGCTACTCGAGAGGCTCTCTTGAGTCCAGGAGTTCAAGTTCAGCCTGGGCAACATAGTGAGACTGCCCCATCTCTAAATAAATAAATTAAATTAAACTAAGAGATCCATCAATTAAGGAAAGTTGCAGTCCTTCTGGCAGAAATTGGTACAGTACTCTATGTAAAGTAAAATGTAATAAGCATACCAGTCCTCTTATTTTTATAAGTATTATTATATAGTTTCCTTAGGGAGAACATTGTTTCTTAGAAAAAAAAATTAAGTAGTATGATTTTGTCTTTTGAAGTATTCTTACATTCTAACATTTTTTCCTTGTTCATACTAAAAATTCTTCAGTTAAACTTTAGAAGAATAAAATAATTGCATTGTGGTTAAAATTATCAATTCCAATCTAATAGCAATGTCCCTAGGTGCAGAATGCAGGACACTGTGCCACTCACCCTTCCATCTTTATCCACTCCAGCTATCTGTCCAGTTGCAATCCTAATTTTGTCAGGATGTATAGCAAGGCTAAAAAGCAGTATTAACAATCATTTTAAATACAGGAAACAAGTGAAATTGCAGAAATGTACCTTTGTATTGACATTTTTCAAACCAATAGTTTTCAATAATTAAAAAAACTCACTTTGACCTACTTGTTCTCTTTAGCAAACATCAATTATCTGAAGATATCTAAGTTGTCATTTGTATCTTTCTTTGCTGAACTGAACAAATTAACAGAACACTAAATTTAAAGCAAATATAAACTGTTTTCATTTGTTCAAGTTCCTTTCTAGTCTATGTACATAGGCAAACATATTCACATGGTTTTATTATAGTGAAGAAGCAGTACTATATTGTGTAACTTTAACCTATTAAAATATAAGCAGTTTTTCATTTTGCTACCTAATTCTTAAACATATTACCAGCAAATACATTAACAGCTCTACCATCTTTTAGGCCATTTCTACTTTCCTACAAAAGAAAATAGCAGTGAACATCTTCACATATAGTATCTTCCTTTTAATTAGTTCCTAATGCTAAATTCTTCAAGTTAAACTTGGGGCAAACAATTTTTAAATAAAAATGGAAAGTATTATAGTACATGTGCCCAAATTGTTCACAATACACATATAAGTAACAAAATTTAAAAAATGATGTCTTCATGTTGTTATCTAGACTCTTGCTGTATCTTGCAACCACCGGATAACCTCATTGGAGAATATAAATTTTTTTGTTTCTTTGTATGTATTGCTTATTATTTCCCCCAAGAGTAGTATCAATTTAAATTGTCGTAATAAAAAATGTTCTAAAGTTTTCTTACAAGTTCCCCACATTAAGAATTTTATCTTTGGCTAGGCACCCGCAGCTCAGTGGTTAGGGCATTAGCCACATGTGCCAGGCTGGTGGGTTTGAACCTGGCCCAGGCCTGCTAAACAAAAATAACAACAACAAAAATAGCCGGGCGCTGTGGCAGGCACCTGTAGTCCCAGCTACTTTGGAGGCTGAGGGAAGAGAATCGCTTAAGCCCAAGAGATTGAGATTGCTGTGAGCTGTGATGCTACAGCACTCCATTGGGGGCGACATAGTAAAAAAAATAAAATAAAATAAAAAGAATTTTATCTTTTTACATGTTTCAATAATTTAATTGCTATAAATAGTACATTGTTTTAATTTCTTTGATTAAGAGGGTGTTTATCAATGTTTCTTTAACCAATTCTCTTTCTTATTTAAATAGTTTATGCCCAGTATCAAGGTCAACTACATTAAAGGTAACTAAAAATTTAACACATGAACATTTTGCCTTTCTTTTTTTGTCTCTGCTACTTGAATCAGAATCATATCTCTCTCTCTTTTTTTTTGCAGTTTTTAGCCAGAGCTGGGTTTGAACCCACCACCTCCAGCATATGGGGCCAGTGCCCTACTCCTTTGAGCCACAGGCACCACCCCAGAATCAGATCTCTTTTTTAAAAAAAATTTCAAATTAAAATTTCTTAATTAGTTAATACATTTGCATGGTTCGAATATCAAGGGCTATAGGAGACCTAATGAGAAAAGTCTCTTTCCCACCTGCCACTCTAGTAAGATCTCATCAACTCTACCCCATCTCTATCCTCTGCAGCCCTTACTCAGGTAATAACTGTAATTAGTTTCTTTTTATTAAGAATTCTAGGAAATTTTTACATACGTGGAAAACCAAGATAAACATTTACTCTCCACTTCTTTTTTACACAAATGGTAGAACACTGTGTACATTCTCCTGCTCTTTAATATTTGTACTTAGGATCTTTCCAATTAATACATAAAGCAATTCCTCATTCTTTTTTCACAGTAACATGGTGACCTATGGATACACTACAACTTCATAGTTCCCAACAAAAAGGTATTTAAGCTGTTTATAATCTTTACTATTAAAAACAATGCTGCAATAAATAATTTTGCAGGAATATTCTGTAAGCATAAAATGCAATATTTTAATCATCTCTAGAAGTTCAACATACATATAATATTCTAAGAGTCATATATTCATTTTTTTCTAGATAAAGATATAATTGCCAGAATGGTAGACATGAGAAGATTTTAAATGTTGGAAAACAACAAATTTAAGCAATAAGTGACTGAGTTTACCTGAAGAGTGAGACATTTATAGTAAAAAAATATGCTTAAGCATTTAAAAACAGTTCTCACATTTTCAGTTTGATATCCTGTGGGGTACTTATGCTCCTTATTTAGTCATTATTTCTTTCTTCTAAAAAGAGGAGCTTTAACTCCAAAATTTATGCTATGTTCAAAGGACAAATCCTCAATAAAAACTGAGTAATCAATAATCACTCTCAGAAACAAGAAAAAGTCCAGTCTTCCCCACATATATTTCATGTTACAAACCAAAGAAGAAAAGGACCATAAGGGATCTGAGAAAGTAGAAGTTCCAGTCAAGATTTATAGGAAGCATATTTTATTGCTGCTGCTACCACACCAATCATTTGGAGGACTGATTATAAGTCTTTTTTTTTTCTTTTTAAAATATACTCTACAGAATGCCCGTAGTATCTGTACATTCTGGACTCTACACAAGAAATCATTTTCAATAAAACTCAAAATAAATAAATAAATAAATAAATAAATTTCAAATTTTAAAAATTTAAAATGAGTGCATGAAAAGAACAAAATCAACAATGTTAAATGATACCAACCATTTCACACAGTCTGTATGACCCAGGTAGTGTCGTTGAGTTCTCTCCTCATAATTAAATAGTACTACTACTGATGCAATGAAATAAACTATTTCCCCAGTAGGAAGAAGATAAACATTAGCTCTACAGTCCTTTCCTCGATAACCATATCTTAACAAAAATAGTCAAGGGTGTTAATAAATATAATTTTCAAGGGACTAATAATTTTTTCATGCATACCTGAGGGAATCAGGAAGGTATAATGAAAAGAGGACTGGACTAGACCTTGAAAACTGATGTTCTACTGTTAACCCTTGTGCAACCTTGAGTCTTTTTTTTTTTGACAAAGAGCCTCAAGCTGTCCCCCACTGGGCAGCAGGTCGTGGCATTACAGCTCACAGCAACCTCCAACTCCTGGGCTCAAGCAAGTCTCTTGCCTCAGCCTCCAAAGTAGCTGGGACCACAGGCGCCCGCCACAACGCCCGGCTATTTTTTGGTTGCAGCCGTCATTGTTGTTTGGCGGGTCCGGGCTGAGGATTCGAACCCGCCACCTACGTGGCTGGCGCCTTAGCCGGTTGAGCTATAGGCGCTGAGCCCAACCTTGAGTCTTTTAACATGTAAATCTTAGTTTCCAGAATTCACTAGACATAGAGTCTCTAATATGTATCAGGCACAGTGGTGAACATAGAGTTCTGAAGAAAGCAAACAAGAGGCCTATGTCCCTGGAACTTAAACTCTGGCAAAGAAGAAATAATCACTAAATATATAATTATAAACTATGGAAAGAAAAATAACAGAATGCTAAAAGAAAGCATACATGAAGGATTTAATTTAGATGGAGAGACAGAGAGAAGAGAGGGAGGAAAAGCAAGCCTATCTGAGAAAGTGATATTTATGTTTGGCCTAATGATGAATAAGGGACAGGCAGACACAGAACATCTGTGAAAAAAAAGATGTACAGAATTACAGGATTGGTGAGTTTTTCCAAACTGATTTCTGCCTTAAGGAGGGAATAAGTCAAGGAATGTGGGAGGAAGTATAAAGAATGGAGGCAGACAGCCGAGTTCAAACTATTAGCTACTTTCCACTTTCTTGAGTTTCTTAGAGGTTCTAGGAGAAGTGAGAATTTCTAGATAAAATTAGGAGAGATTTGTTTCAAACCATAATCTAAAAAAAAAAAGGCTGGCTGAGAATTCTGGAATTAGAATTAGCCTTGTTAATTTGAGCTCTTAATAAGATAATTTTCACCATACTTACTTTCGCAGTTTACAAAATGGGTAATTCATGTTTTGTTATTTAATTCTTACAACAGCCCTGTGAAGTAGAGGTTATTAACCCCTTTTATAAATAAAGAAAATTAAAGTTCATAGGGAGCAAGTGGCAGGGCTGAAACTCAAATACTAGTCTTTCAACTCCAGTCCAGTGTCTTTTCTACTATACCACAAGTTCCTGTTGAAATATTAATGAAATACTTGCTCGTTCTGTCTGAAGACATTAATTTCAATGGCTTTAAATTGCAAAAAAACATGTGAAAGGATTAAAGATGATGTCTTCCTTTTAATTTCACTAGAGATTAGGTAAACTAATTTTTCTTAAACAGGAACAATGACAACAAATTTGCTGTCACAGTAGAAAAGGATACACCCACTCCAGTTTGAGCTTCTCAGGAGGCAGTTCCGTTCTGATGTCATCATAGTTGTCAATATCAGAAGGAATGAACATTGTAATTGGCCGACCTCGCATAAACATTTTAATATAATCTCCTTCTGTTGAAACACAAGACAAAAATTAAGTCATGTATTTTCTGTATAATCATAAAAAAGTGGATTGTTAATGTGATACAATAAAAACAAGACAGATATAACTATTTTTAAGTTTTATTCTCATTGTATATAATTACTTTTGTTATGCAGTTATTTATCCCTTAGTATCTGTAGGGGACTGGTTCCAGGACCAAACACCAAAATCCATTGATGCCCAAGTCCCTGTTACTTATCACACTAAAATACAATGTAAATGTTATATAAAAATAGTATTACTGTATTGTTTAGAAAATAAGAAAAAGAGTCTGTACAAGTGTCTGAGTACAGACATTTTTTTTCTGAATATTTTTGATCTCTGTTGGTTGAATCCACAGATGAGGAATCCACGGATATGGAGGGCCATATATATGTATATGTATATGTGTGTGTGAGATAAAGACCAAAATACTATAGAAAATAAAATATTGGCCATTTCTTAACTGAATATATTTTTATATTTAATATATAATTTATTTAAGCTGATACATTTCTTTAAGGCCAGAAAGGTTGAGGTAGAAAAACACAAAAGAAAATAATTTTGTGATGAAAGTTTTTCTGATAGTTGAAAAGAAGAAAGATTGTCTGGATAGACAACAACCACGTCTACCACACTACTTGATCAACCTACTAGTGTTTAATGACACATCAAAAAACATGGCCTCACAAAATAAAAAGTCTCTACATAGCAAAGGAAACAATCAACAGAATAAAGAGGCAACCTACAGAATAAGCAATATATTCACCTATATTTTAAATCATCTCTAGATTACTTGTGACACTAAATACAATGTAAATGCTATGTAAATAGTTGCTATACTGTATAATACATCATATATCTAGTAAGGCATTATAATCTACGAAATGTATATGAAATTCAGATATATTAATTTTCACAGCAAAAAACCTAACAACTGACTTTAAAAAATGGGCTAAGGACTTGGACAGATATTTCTCCAAAGACATAAAAATGGCTAATAGGTTCATAAAAAATAATGTACAACATCACTAACCAACAGAGAAATCCAAATCAAGTATTACTTCATACTTGTCAGGACAGCTATTATCCAAATACAAAGACAGCAAGTGTTAATGAGGATACAGAGAAACTGGAACCCCTGCATGCTATAGGTGGGAATGCAAAATGGTGTAGCTGCTACGGAAGACAGGATGAAGGGTCCTCAAAAAATTAAAAACAGATTACCATATATATGACATAGCACTCCCATTACTGAGTATCTTCCAAATAAATGAAATTAATACATTAAAGATATAAGCACTCTTTTTTTTAACAGCAGCACTAATCACCATAGCCAAGAAGCAGAAACAACCTAACTGTCTGCTGAAGATGAACAGAGAATGGAAACACAGTATACGTACACAATGGAGTACAATTCAGCCTTTAAAAGGCAGGAAATTATGCAACGTGTGATAAACACAGATAAACAACACAGATAAACCTGGAAGATATCGTGCTAAGTGAAAAAAGCCAAAGAAGGACAAATATTGCATGATTCCATTTATATAAGATATCTAAAGTTGTTAAACTTGTAGAATCAGAGTGGATTGTAGTTACCAAGCTTGGGAGAGGGACGAATGGGCCATTAATAATCAACAGGTATAAAGTTTCAGCCAAGCAAGATGAATAAGTTCAAGAGATGTGCTGTATGACACTGCACCTACTGTCAATAATGTATTGTGCACTTAAAAATTTATTTAAAAGGTAGATGTCATAGTGTTCTTAACATAATAAAAAACAAAACATGATCTCAGCATATACCACGAGGAGAGGAGCAAACATCTTCACAAATTAGGATGGGGAAGGGGACTAAGAGAGAGGAGCAGGAAGGTAGAGGACCGACTTCTCTTTACATTGCACTTACAACCAGTCTCGAGTCTAAATAGTTACATTCATTTGTAATACATTAAAATTTTCAAGACAGTGCTAGGAAACACTATTCTTATTAGCAGCATAGGTTCTAAAACATCTTTTATTTACATAAATCAATAGCTCTTTTACAAGATCTGCAACAGTCTAAAAGTAAAAATTTTAGTCTAGAATCAAATCAATATTTATTATGCATCTTCTGCAAAAGGAAATACTACTTCACCAAACAGATGGTTCTGTTTCTTATTCCTTCAAAAACAAAAAAGAAACAAACCCCACTCATCCCAGCCCAAAGCATCCTGGTGATTTACACACGGATAGGCTTAATAAATGTTGATGGTGATGGTGAAAATATTACAAACCAACCTAAAAGGAAAGAAGGAAAATAGTATGAAAGCACAGCAAATGTCTAGGAGTTGCCAACTCGTCTGGTATGATATGAAAATAGCATTAGAACCAGACTGAAAGTATGACCATCAACCAGAGGCTGAAACGACGGTAGGCTCTCTAACAATGACCTAAGCCGCCTAGAGAAATGAGTACATAATAATCCAGTAGTTTATATGATGCAAACCTGGAAGAGGAAGGAAAGATAAATTACTTGCTGGATGTCTGCAAGTGTTTCTTCAGTCAGATTAAAAAGTGTGCTTGTTACGGGTGAGAAGTTCAAGTTATTTTTATTTTTATTACTCAGTGTGCTCAGCCTCAGGGTCTGATCTAAGAACAGGCTAAGACCTCCCACGCTATGATTTTAACTCCACATGATGTATGTCTTTATTACTTCTGAATCTAAGAGTGGGCCCTGCTTCCTGATGATTTTTAGAATAGCTGGACTTTGATGATAACTAAATGATTACCAGCTGTAATTGTCCTTATTTGTACTTCCTTGCCTTTTTAAATATATAGTTTACTCTTTTAGATGTCAATTTATTATAAATTTTCCCTCTAGTTGTTTTTTTTTTTTTTTTAAGATTACAACATTTTGAAAGCAAATACCTTGTCCTTTGGAATTTCTCTAAGGATCTCTGCTCAGAGGTGTACATCATAAATGTTTTCTGAATGACATTTTAATAGGTGTTTCTATTGCCACTTAGAAGGAAATGTCTATGCAGCAAAGGGTTAAAGGTTAGCAATATAATCAACGTTCTCCTTTGCTAACAGAGACAGTTTAGAATTCCATATTCATTATTTTCTCAACTGTCAAGCAGCATAAGCAACTAAGTGGGAAAGCAAAGGAACAATCTAGTACTTCCAACTATTCTGATAGAAAAACACCAATGTTAGGATGAAAATGTTTTCCCTGCTTATCAACTGGTAGCATGTATGCTAGAGATGAAGTATATAACCTAAGTACTTCAAACAATTCCTGCCAATACACTATAGTGGAAGAACATGAGCCTTAGAAGAGACTGAGATTTGAGCCCCAGATATGTCTTAGTAGCTGTTAGACTTTGGCTTCACTTCCCTAATATGGAAAGTAACAATAATACTTAGTGCTTAGAATTGTGATTGATTAAGACAACAATCTATAAAGCATAATATGAGGTCCCTTGCCTTTGAGAACAACTTGCAACAATTCTAAACACTGTCTAGCAATAGCTTATTTAGTGCACTATAGTATCTCTTTGTAAGATTTTAAAGTGCCCAGAGAAGGGCAAGTATAGGCAAATAAGCTAGAAATCTGCTGATTCTACTATTGTATACTTTAAAACAGGGGTCACAAATTCACACGCAGGAAATGTAAATGAGAGAAGTGGGACAGTACAGAATGACCGGGGGTGAGGGAGCTGGCATACCTACACCCTATATCAGGAAGGGAGCAGCTAGTTAGCTCTATGAAGGACGTGCGCCCAGTTATTGATCTTCTCATTTTTCAAGGGAAATAGGAAATCTATATTTTATTGTGACACCTCTCAATTTTTAAATGTTTCTCCTTTGCCCAAAAAGGGAAAACATCGTGTGAAAACACACCTTTGGCCTGCACACAACAAACATGTCACCAGTTTGTAACCTTTTCTTTTAAGATGACAGTCTTTATCTTGGGTATTAGGTAAAAAATACAGATGAATTAAGAGCCTCTTTCCTCTAGTCACTGTCAAATTCTAATTGCTAACTTTTCTTGAGATTCTTAAGTTTCTTGATCATATAGTCAATGTCTGTATTACCCCAATGCTACTGCCTGGCTGTGTTCACTGTCAACTATATAACAAAGTCAAGGGTAAGGGATAAGCCACAGGACTGATCAGCATATGAGATCAGTACCATTAATATAAAATCTGGTGATCCAGAAAAAGAAAGTGAGATAAACAAATTATTAAACTATCCACCTCATGATAGTTAGGAAACAGTATAGTGCTATCAGCATTTAATAATGAAGATGCTTACTTAAATGTAATTAATCTCAACATTTATCTCCAATCTGGGCATAGTGAAAATATCTGGGACTGAGAGGGAGTAAATAGAACACAAGCTTTGATTTAACCAGACCCTAATTTAAATCTCAGCTTTAGAACTTACTAGCTTATGCTAAAAAAAATGTGTATTATTAATTGAATGCGATCAGTGATACTTTATAAAGAAATTCTGTAGGATATTGTTGATAAAAGCTGTTATGTCATTTCTTTAGACACATATACTGTCAAAATCTTAAGGGCCAGGCAAGGTAGCTCATGCCTTTAATCCCAGCACTCTGGGACACTGAGGTGGGCAGATCGCCTAAGCTCACGAGTTTGAGACCAGCCTGAGCTAAGTGAGACCCCCATCTCTAAAAATAGCTGGGCATTATGGTGGCCGCCGATAGTCCCAGCTACTTAGGAGGCTGAGACAAGAGAATTGCTTGAGTCCAACAGTCTGAGGTTGCTGTGATCAATGATGCTAACACATTCCACCAGGGGCAAAAAAAAAAAAAAAAAAAAAAAAGAAAAGAAAGTTTAGAGCTCACCTAGTCTAACTGCCTACTTTTACAGAAGAGGAAACTAAGGCTCAGAGAGGTTAAATGAATTTGCTGACTGTCTTCCAAAACGTTCTATTACTTAGAATGTTGGAAATATTTTAAGTCTAAAATTATGTTCTAGACCTC